TGTTTTGGCAAGAATTTCAGTTTATACATCCCTACTAAAGGGAACTCAAATACCCTAAGCAATCCTAGTTCAATTCACCCAAAAATCACCGCTCAAATTCTGTTTTTACTCGATTGAATTTCAAGAAAAAAAAAACGGACAGCACTTCCTTTGTGTTTCCCTTATTTTTCAGCCATTTTCAAGGCTTCGTTTTCTTTTCAAATCAGCCCCAAATCAACACACAAGTAATAATATAAAGATAGCTCTTAAACTAGGTCATAAACCATCCAATTGTAACTCATTTCGAGCAAATAATCATCCAATACCAAAGCTGGAAAATTCTTAAGAAAGCTGGAATTTCCTCTTTTAAAACTAAAAAGTCATAATAAGGTTACTAATCACCTCACAAGTCCAAAATCAAGTTCAAAACCAACATATCATGGATAAACAACATAAATCAAAGCTGAAAATTGCAAAACCCTAGCTGAAATTTCACTAATCTACACCAAACCTAGAGTATCATCCATAATATTCCAAAATTCATGTCATCTATGCCATATTTTGCAAGAATAAGAAAGAGAAAGGAAGTTGTTGAACTTATACTTTCAAAACCTCTTGAGAAGTGATGAACCAAGCTATTTCTCCAAAGAAACTCTCCACTCCAAGCCTCCTAACTCCCTTGGTGCTAGTTTAATTGATTTAGTTTTTGTGATTTCAACTCAAACAAGGCAAGAATCAAGATGGAAACTAAAGCTCTCTCTCTCTTTTCTCCTCTTGAGGTTCGGCCACCATGAAGAAAGAAATGAAGAAAATTTGGCCAAGAAGAAGATAAGAACAAAGAAAATGGACTTGGTCAAACATCCCTTGATCATTGACACTTGGCATCTAAGTGTGCCTTCGTTTTTTTCTTCTTTTCTTTCCTTTTCCTAGTCAAATATTTCGGCTGACTTAAGGGGTAATTTAGGAAGGATTAAATGAAATAAAATCAAGGAGATTAAGGTAAGAAAGTATTGGTCAAATGGTGTACTCAACCGGTAACAAACGGCGCACATCAGTTCAAGCCTACTTTCTTAACTCTCTTGTACTTTTGTTTTAACTTATGATTCACTAACTTATTTTCAATACTTCTAATCATACACTTCCTCTTACTTAATACTCGCTCTTATCTACCAAAATTTAGTACACACACCTCACCAACAGATTACACTACCAAAATGCACAAAAATTCTAGTTTACTCTAACTATAAAAGTAAAAGTAAAACTTTCGATTCTATTATTTCTTATAACTAATGAAGGAGTAAATTAGTAATAAAGGAATTATAAATTAACTTATTCAAAATAAAAGAGAATTATAAGGAAGATATAGGTGCTTTATGTGACAGCCCCACCTCACCCTAAGGCGAACCAAAAGGTTCGGCGGGCCGCCTGCCCAGCTCTCGCCGGGACTCAGTCGCTCACTACAGTCCTCAAATAAATTACAAGATATATCTCAAATTTACATCAAATTCTCCAAGAATTACATATCACAAACGCAGCGGAAACTAATTCCCAAGCGTGGAATGTACACGTACATCCATTCAAGTCCAAACATTCATACAAACCCAACTATTACACAAGAGAAATCTAAAACTCACTATACAGGAGATAATCCATCCAGCCACATGAACAAGTACTGCAAGCCTTCCTTCGCCATGAGCCCTGTGAAGGGGAATAAAATATTTTTGGGGTGAGCTAGAAGCTCAGTGAGTAACCAATAAAATCAGTAATCAAATATATTTCACAATAATGCATTTCGATGATGTCATGATTCCAAGATCAAATATACGTATTGTTGCTCTCGTGAGCCAGTGAAATCATTGAACTTAAACACCCAACGCTCAAATAGATCACTTAGCGTTAAACAATAAGGGGGAGCAACGTTAGTGCTCCAGATCATGTCATGAACAATAAACAGGGTAGAGACGTTGGTGTTCAGCACAAGACTCCCCAAGAACTCATTAAAACCAAATCATGTCATGAACTCACATGCAAGCACGCATGATATGCAGTCGAGTAAATAATACAAGAAACATTTCAAAAGTACTTGGGAAATAGTTGAGGGTCACTCACCTCCACGGCTCAGAAACCATCCATCATATATCATTACCTTACCCGAATCCAAGCCCTAAACTCAAACTCAAAGCCATCAAATGTTTTCAAAGATCGGACAGCATTTCCCCTACATTTGCTTACTTTTTCAGCCGTCATGGCTTCATTATTTTTTTCATTCAAACCCAAAGGTACACACACAACAACAAGTTCATTCAATAGCCATTCAGCAAGCTCCCAGTAGTACAAGTACAAGTCAAGCTAGGGAAAAGTCCGGAAATGAAAGTTAAGCTCAAAACCAGAAAAACAGTTTTTGACATCATTTTACGGTTTTGGCACCATTGACACTAAGATTATCGGGTGAAGGTGAAAGACCCACCGTTTCGAAGCTAAGAGATAGGGTTACAATATTTCAGAAGGTCACTCAGCCCAGTTTTGAGTGTAACCAGGTCAAAAATGCAATATACTACACCAGAACCGCAAAACAGATTCACAGAATGCATTCTAGTACAAACATCATAAATCAGCCTACCTAAGTCCAAATCCATAAATTCCAAAGCCATCTGAAAGCTAAGAAATAGGGCTACATTTCATCAGAATACCTCAACAACCAATTCGGAAGCATTCCCAACCAAAATAACCCATTACAGAAACAATTCTCAAATTCGGGTAAAACCAGGGCAGCAAGGGTAATTCCGTCTTTTCACAAGCTACGCTGCTCCGATTGACCTGAACTTTTGCAGGCACCTCTAAAATATTATTCCCTACAACTTTCATGTTTTAACCCAAGGCCAATTCGGCCTCTAACTATGAGCTACAAAACCGGGCAGAATGTAATTCAAAGAACCCTAACTTTCCAATTTTTCTTCCAAAACAGAAATTGCTTGCAATTTACCACTTTTTCCACCTTCTAACTTCCTTAAATATCATTTCCAATCATCATGCATGACCATATAATCATATTCATATGAAAACAGAAAAATCCCCAATAATTATAAAACTTCACCAATTCAACCAAAATCAAGATATCTTTCACCCAATCACACATTTAATCAACACAACTCATTACTTTGACATTATCAAGACCAAAGGAAGCATTCCCTAGTTACTCACCTTGAAATGCAAGAAAAGGAACAACTTGGCACCTTAATCCTCCAAACAACTCCACTAATCACCTTAAACTAGCTTAGCAACTCACTTTTGTAGAGAAATTTGGAATTTAACCGGTAGGTTTGCAAGATTCAAGCTAGAAATGAAGGAAAATTGAAGAAACTCTCTCTCTCTTTCTCTCCTCCATGGCCGGCCAAGAGCAAGGGAAAAATGAAGCTCATTTTGGTCAATTTTTGGTATTTATTTGGTAAAGGTAAAGGTAAAGTTAAATGGTCAAAGTCAAGAGTGAATTGGATGGTGACACTTGTCACCTTTAGGTTTAAAACTTATCTTTTTGCCTCTCTAATACAAATCTCTTAGCACCTTGTAAAATAATCTCACTTAATACAAAACTCCAACAAGTTGTCAAAAATATATTGCATTTACCGCACTTGCGGGTCCTACGTTCATAATACACTTCAAAATTAACGTGGACTAACTTGTATCAAGAAAATGATTTGAAAACTATATTCCCTTATAAAAATGTATAAGAAATTAATATATTGAAGAAAGGCATAAAATTATCGACAAGGAAACAAAATAATGTCACGAAAATATATAAAATTTTCAGTTTCTCACACTCATTCTTTCGGGGCGTCACACTTTACATATATAATGATTTATTATATTTTGATTAGTGAAGAAGTACGATAAATCATAACATCTTGTCAAAAAAAAAGTTTTTCAAGCAATTTGGTACCTAACACCCTAATAAAAAAATGATAAAATAAAAAAACCAAATAAAAAAAGAGAATAAGAAATGACATGGTCCTATATTCTCCCATGATTGTGAAGCAGTATCAACTGGATTAGACGATTATCTCTATTTATTTGGCAAATGCAAGCCTCCGTTTTATTCCAGCTATTGAAGATGAAACTGTAGTCATGAATCATGATAATAGTGCTTTGAGTTTTTTTTTTCGAAAAACAGCAGTGCTTTGAGTTATTTCCTCAAGGATAGAGTGAAAATTTGACAGTTATGTCCTTTTATCGTGGTGGTCTGATATTTGCTGATTCCTCCTGACCTAGATTTGCCATCATAAAACACATTTAGTCAGATCTTTGATGAGAAACTCCACTACAAAAGCAGCCATTGGACGCACTCTTGAAGATTTAAGATTGTTTAATAGCTTAGGAGACAATGTCAATGTGTTTTAAGTTCAGCTATTCATGTCAACTCATGGTTATTTATCTGTTCTCGAAGCATTGTATATCATCATTCAATTCATTCACTATGATGAGCAGTTGTTTCGGTAACATGACCGAATGGGGAGATCTGAAGCATACATACATGGACTCATTTGATTTTAGGAACATCGAATTGTTGATGCATATTTTGCTTACAATTACTATTCATCAAAGTTGATAAACAGTAGCTCCATAACAGTTCAGCCACTATTACCATAGTCATTTAACCTTTGATTGTAGCACATATACAGTAAATGAACGAAACTTTTCCGATTGATAAAACACAAAAGGAGTATTCAAGTTAGTAGGCATGTTCTTCCCCACAATATTACTTCTAAATAATTTGCTTGATCTCGAAATTCACTACTTATCAGTAGAAATTAACATACCATAACATATTCCAAATCCATGATGTCTAGAGCATATTCAACACCTTACAAATTCTCTTAAAAACAGATGTTTGCTCAAAATTCCCCAAGCTGGTTCATTAGCATACAGTATAGGAAGCGAGTCTGCAAGCTGTTTGCAAAAATAGAAGCTAAAGCTTTCCTCAAAATAGAAATATAATAAGCATAAAGGCCAATGACGTCCAGATATGCAATGAAAAGCACTTTTCTACAAGAGAAATAATAGAAATGTGTTCAAAAGAATCATTAGAAAGAAATAGCACAGAATGAGGAGAGGAAGGAGATGCCCGCTTAACTAAGAGAAAGTATTACCAATCTGAGTAATAAATTTCAAATTGGTTAAAAGCTGCTAAAAAAATCCTGTCAATTTCTTGAACCTTGGCTTCTAATCCGCCACAAGCATGTAGACATATAATCACTTTTGATAGTTGCATGGATGAGAATGTGCATAACAAAATATAGTGTGTGAATGACCAAGCACAAGGTAGATAATGAAAATCTCTATCCATCCAAAAGTTCGAAGTAACTTCAATGGTCTTCCAGAACCAACACCTTGAGGCCTAGATAGCGAGTTTTAGCTGAACATGTTTGGAAGAGGTCGTACTGCCATAAATGCATCAACCATCTGACAAAGACAAGAAAGTAAACTATTTGAAATAACTGAGAACAACTACAAACATCTCAGCCAATTACTTGAGTTAGATAAAAGAAAAACTTAAAAAACTTAAAACAAGTGGAAGCACATCGTTTGACAAAACCCAACATATACAACATTGATGGCATTCAGAAATGCTCGACAAGCTAACAATTAAAAAACCTGACGTTTTAGGGTAAAAATAACTATCTCTAGTACTAGCATAATGGATGATAGAAGGCAAAAAGTGTTGACTAAAATTACAGACAACTAGAAAATATATACTAATCGAAGCCCTTCCCACATACAATGAAGGGAGAACGGAAAGGAAAAATGGAGGAAGTGAAGGACAGGAGCAGGACATTTCTCAGTGTAAAATTCCACAAGTTTCTTGGACGGTGTGCTCTAGACACACTGCTGTAACATAAATTCTTTTCCTTTGGTCTTTGAATCTTTGCTAGCCAGTAGGTTTAAATGCAATGTTCAAAAGCTCACGACAATGAGAGGTTCCGACACTAAAGACATGCACTTGCAATGGTGTGTAACTTTTAAATTAGATAATACAAACATCTTATTGGGAAAAGAAATGTGCACCAGTTCGTAATATGGTACATACTCACTACATAGTATTTTCCTTACTCTTGGAAGCCCAAGACATGATTATTGCAAGGACACTTATAAAGACGTAATCAAATTAAGCAGAACCACCACGCCGAGGTATGCATGTTAGCTGTATATACACATATATACAAATCTATGCAAGTATACATGCTAGCTGCACATGTAGACACACACAAATATGCCTGCGGGACTGGATACATGTTAGTTGTATATATAGATGCATTTATGTTAGCTGTATACACATTTTAGTGCAGTTTGACAGCTTGCAGGATGGCCAGCAAAGCCATGTTATCATGAGGGTGGGCAATTGACCCACCCCCCTTCAAATTTTGGAAAAATCCTAATCCTTTGGTGTCCTATAATTGTTTTAATTATGCTTTAAATTAGATATGATTAGTTGTTTGCAGCCCCTCGAAACCACAAAAATTATATATTGCAACCTCTCAAACAAAAGTGAGGGGCAACCACTAAGAATTAAATATATTGAAATCCAATGTATCAGAAGAAAGAAGTCAAGAAAAAATAGCAATTAAAAAAACAGATAATATAGACATAAAATATCAACCCACCATGATGGAGTGGGAGCAATAATTAAGGAACGCATGGATGAATATAACCGATGCCTCTAAGAAAGAAACAAGCTAGTTATGTCGAGAAGAGTAAATGGACAGAGAGAAAAGGCTTGAATACTGTGTAACAAAATGCACTTGAGATATTTTTTTTTCTTTTTTTGAATTTGAATTACTCCTACCTCTTATCATCATTTTATTTTGGCCAATTAGCAACTAAGTTTTACTTGGAGGATTTTTGATAGTGTATCTTATTTATTTATTAAACTGTTTACAATTCAATGGGTGACCAATTACAAATTAATTTGTGTAATACTAGTAATCATGATGCAACTAATTGCTATAAAACTTAAGATGCCAAATTTACTTTCGTTCAAGCAACACTAACATGAATAATGCAAGAAATTACTTTGAATACTAAGACAAATTAAGTACATTATAGGTATTAGGATTAGCCAATTTGATTAACCGCTCACTGATAGTACATTAATTCACAAATTGTATATAACTAATTACTAAACCATTTTTGCATATGTGGTTACAGGTACTACTGAGATATTTTCTTCAAAGGCTCAAATGTTCCATTACTCAACTGTAGAAGATTGCAACCCCTGACTTCAGGCCCTAGCTCCTTCACATTATGGATGGCCAAAGGTACACGTTGAAAGAAATTATCATCCGCTAAGATCAAATGAAAGCTTCTCTGCCTTAAAAGTTTTAAAAAAATTTTTTAAAAGCTTCTCTTGAATATTCTCCATTCCAGGGAGCTATCAAAGAGGAAAGACAGTGAGCTACACTTGGGTTTTACAACAGAAGCAAAATTTAAAAAAAAAAAAAAAATCTTCTTGTTGTCCATACTATGAATCAAAGGATTCAAACTCAACTTTTTATAGTCATTTAAGAACTATTTTGTCAATACTTGAACCAACATGAGGAATTCAAGATAAAAATGGCATTAGTCTGTTACCTCATCAGTCACTGCAGCACGGGCTCGGCGATGTCTTTCTACCAATTCAGTTAGAACTTCAATAACCCGCCTTTTAACTTCACCTGTTAGCAAATGCCCAGCTCCATATTCCTGAAGAGAAAAAAAACACAAGTTTTAAGGTGAAGCTAAACATCTATCGCCTATGGTTTCTGAAAATGCAATTTCAAAATTAAGCTTTGGCCAGAAGAACACCAAAAAAGTAATAGATGGCTGCTTACCCTCCTAATCTGTTCCAGTTCAGCATCATCATCAAGAAAAAACTCAAGATATTTAATGGGTATATCCACCTGAGAGAGAGAGAGAGATCAGGACACATATATACAGGTACAAAATAATGAATTGTAAAAACAACCATAACCCACAAGTCACTAACAAAACCCATACATATAAGATGTATCTGAAGAAGAAAAGTTGCATATGGATGTCATAACAATGATTTCTTAATACGTTGGAAATTGGGAAGATAACTACAGTTACCAGTATTTTGAAAACCAGAATAGGCAGGCCATTCCTACTGGTTAGTTCAAGAACTGGATGACCAGGCGGTGTGAATATATGTTACAGCAAGAAAATACAATAAAGAAAAAGAAAAACAGTCAAACTAAGTCAAAACTGCTGAACCACGCTGACCAGTTGAACCGCTGTGCACAGTGTAGGCCCACATTTTTGGGTTTTCAAACATTTCACGTGCATACGTCATTAGTCGGATCCATTGTAGGAACTACTCCTAAACAAAAATGCATGTTCCCTAGCTTTATTTTATTTTCTTTTTAAGTCTCTCTTTCTTTTATTTATGTAACTCCATTTAATAAACTGAATTTAAAAAAAAAAAAAGACCCAGAAAGAGAACAGACTAAATAAATGAAGAGGAGCACTTCTCAAAACAAACCCCACTACCTCAGATTCTCTTCAGCTCCTCTGCTCCTCTAAATGAGAGGTGATGTCAGTGTGGTGATGACAAAGATGTGAATTTATTGGGATCTTATTATAATGAAAGATTTTAACTCCTCAATTGGCTAATTTACTTTGAGAAATGAGAGTTTTAAACAACTATGAGTTGTGCTGTTTAACTTGATTTTCTATTCGTAAAATTTATCATTTTAACTGTTTTCCTTATTTTTCAATAATTATAATCACTAACAGATCTTTTTTCCCGACCTTTCATGAATGTTGTTAAAGTTCATTTAGGGGATTTAGCAATTTCCAGATTGTTCTTCATTATCCCAAAAGTCATATCGAAAGTTTTAAAACTTTGGCAGATTTTCTAACTAATTGTCGTTCTGTACTAGCATAACACGGTTCTCAACACTGCTCAATGGAAGCCCGATTGGAGGCTTAGAAGTATAGCCAATTAATGGATGTGATCCATTACAGTCCTCGCTAGTCCAGTTAATGAAAATCCCTGACAACTATTTAATAAGCAAAGTCACCTTAAAGGTAACGGGGAAGGAAACTCTCATGGTTACCACCCAAGGGGGTTAGCTAAACTGGGTGCCCTTTCTGCCCTTTTTCAGGGGAAAGATCAGTTAATGTTATTGTGGTTCTGAGAAGAAATTCTATCATCTAAAAGCTACTCTAAGTTGGTTAAAAACTAGTAGCTCTATGAAGGAAGGCAAGATCAGATAGTTCCACCTTTGATATGAAATTAAGTTCTGGATATAGTGGGGAGAAGAATGATCAGAAGTACACACTCCTTTACCTAATTTTTTTATCATTTTTCGCTCTGCAAGCCTCAGTTGCACAGATGCTAGAGCAAATACGAAGAAGTTTTGTAGGATGCAATGATGCAGGAACAAAATTCCCATCTTTTGCATTAGGCACATCTGAGAATCAATACCTAGGTTTTACAGATATCCGAAGTTTAGCTCATGCAGAGGAAGTAATGAGAAAAGGAGTTTGAGCAGACAAGTTTAATTAAAGTTGGGCAATTTAATCCACTTTTGGGGGTGGAGGGCTTGGGAGTTGGAGAGGTTCAAAAGCTCTTGCCCGGCTGTTCTTCGAAAGGGAATAAGAAAGGTTAAGCATGAAGTCTCCAAGTTAACAAGTTGTTAACAGGCATATGGTTGGATCTCGGCTAGTATACGCTTAAGAATGAAATTCCAACTAAATTTCATATATCCAAGGCAAGGGGTACTAGGGATAAAATAGGGACTGAGAGCAATTTATTTTCAAGATATCTACATGATTGGGATTTGCAATCTTTCAAGGGCTATAAAAGCAAAACCTGTAGGAGGAGAAACATGGATTAAGGCAATACTAGAGACTCACAGTCAAGCCCTTTGACATGATAATGCAGAACAGGAAATATAAATTATACAAGGATAATTTGGACACCAGAACACCTAAAAGAGTCACCCTTAACTGTAGTGAATAAACTGGATAGGAAGTGAATCTTCATTGGCTTCTTATGTGAGGCTAGACGTAAAATTAATTGCCAACATGACCACAATATATGGTATTGCATAAGGGTTATGATGTTTAAGCTTTTGAGGCGCTACTTGATGGTGCCAGATAAATTCCCAGATCAACCGCTATGGAAAGTGAAAAAGCGATCATGAAAAAAAGATGGACACCTGTTACTGCTATAGAAAAATAACAAAGAGCTACATATAGTAAATACACCAATCCAGTCCTTAAAAAACTATTTACAGACTACATTATTTTAGTACTCATTTCTGGAGTAGGCAATCCATCCAGACTTGTAGCAGTCTTGAATTTTATCCTCCAAAAATTTAAAAGTACAAAGGTCCAATTGATTCTATTTCTTTTGCCTCACTTACTGACAAATGCTGGTTCATTCAACTTAATGTTTTTCCTTTGTGCTTGTTAAGCAACAGTTAATTGATAATACCTTAGTGTAAATTCTATACATGGAAACAGAAGGCATACAACCTCCAACATTCTTAAATTTTCTAACAAGTTATAAAAGACAAATCTCCAGAACAACTGGATACAGAATTATTCACCATATATCCAAACTATATATAATCATCACAGTCTGTCTTATCAAGAACTTTCTCAACTTGGGTTTTGTATATTTCATAAAATGAAAACACCAGATGGGCTGAGCTTCATCCAATTCACAGAAGCATAGAATATCTTCAGAAATCCAGTCAAACTCACTTGTCAAAAAAGAAAGAGAGACAACATCGTGTGCCCAATTACGAAATTCAGAGACGAGGAAAATGTAGGAAAAACTCATTTTTGGCCACTAAAATGCTACAAGAATAAAGTCCATAATACTAGGTAATCAGTGAAAGGGTTTTAAAAAAACCAAGTTAACCTAAAGCTGCATCAAGAAATGAAATTGTACAAAGTATGCAACATGGGAGAATCGGCCAATAAATGATAATAAATGATAGTTCTCTCATTTATTGACTGGTTCTATAGAGGTCAAAGGATGGGAGCAAGTTCTACAGAAACCAAGTATGGTAGATGAGCAAAGCTAAAAGTAGCATGTGAAAATTGGTGTAGGAATAGAACTCTGAGGAAGGCATTGCCTGATCTGCAAAGCTATGTAGTGAAATGCGAAGCTAAAGGGGCTGATGTTCAAGCAACATGTACAATCCAGCCTGAATCTGACATTCAGAATGTTGCTCGAACACTGGAGGTTCTCTTCAGCAATACTCTTTAGCTAAAATATGACAACTGGAATACTCTACATACAAGCACAAGTGGGAGAATAGATAAAATGAGTATAGGTATGGAAACCTACACAAAAATTAAGATTCACAGCTAAGTTTCCTTCTTTTCATGGTATGCAGCTTGCGATTTTATTTTACCAACATAACATCTGACCAGGGGTGCAGGGTTACACATTAGCTGGTTTTATGCCAGGATAAAGAAGTTGAAGATACTACTTGCCTCCTGTTAAGAGAATATAAATATTCTTGTAGATAATAAATTAGCAAGGGTATTCTTGTAAATAGTTTGTTAGGTTTGTATTCTTATAAATACTAGTTGGTCACTCATAATACTGTGACTAGATGTTTTCCTCCCAAAATACCTGTTAACATGGTATCAGAGCAAAAGTCCTAGGGTTAGGGTTAAACATCTAGTCACTATAAAAGTCCTGTTATTGGTTGTAAATGGGTGTACACTATAAAAGTGCAGCCTAATGGTTCTATTGATAGATTGAAGGCTCGTCTGGTAACTAGAGGATTTACTCAGGTGTATGGAGTAGACTACTTAGAAACATTTTCTCCTGTTGCAAAGATTACCTCGGTTCGTCTTCTTATCTCTTTGGCAGCAACTTACAATTGGCCATTGCATCAATTGGATGTGAAAAATGCATTTCTGCATGGAGATTGGGAAGAAGAGGTATATATGGAACAACCTCCTGGATTTGTTGTTCAGGGGAAGAATTCGCGATTGGTTTGTCGTTTGAAAAAATCCTTATATGGATTGAAACAGTCTCCGAGGGCCTGGTTTGGCCGATTTAGTAGTTTTGTCATGAAGTTCGGTCTGACAAGATGTGGAGTAGATCATTCTGTATTTTATCGGCATTCTAATGCTGGTAAAATTTTATTAGTTGTTTATGTGGATGATATTATGATTACAGGTGATGATGTTACGGGGATCCAGAAACTTAAATCCAATTTTCAGGCAAACTTTCAGACAAAAGATTTAGGTCATCTACAGTATTTTCTGGGTATTGAGGTAGCTCGGTCTAAATATGGGATTTATTTATGTCAAAGAAAATATGTACTCGATATGCTGAGTGAAGTTGGGATGTTAGGTTGCCGACCTGTGGATACTCCTATGGATCCTAATGTGAAATTAGTAGGAGATCACGGTACATTACTAGATGATCCTAGGCAATATCGAAGACTTGTGGGTAAATTAAATTATCTCACTGTAACAAGACCTGACATTTCGTTTGCAGTGAGTGTTGTGAGTCAATTTCTTGATACCCCTCGTACTAGTCATTGGGATGCTGTTATACGGATTGTCAGGTATCTTAAGAGTGCTCCTGGAAAAGGGTTGCTGTATCAAAATCATGGACACATTAATATTAAAGGATATAGTGATGCAGATTGGGCTAGTTTTGCCTCAAATCGAAGATCGACCACAGGATATTATGTATTTATTGGTGGTAATTTAGTGTCGTGGAAGAGTAAGAAGCAAACAGTTGTCTCCAGATCAAGTGCAGAATCTAAATACCGCACTATGGCTCACACTGTGTGTGAGTTGGTTTGGTTGAAGAGCATGTTACTTGAAATTGGGTTTGAGCATAAACAACCTATGAATTTAGTGTGTGATAATCAGGCAATTGTTCATATTGCGTCTAATCCAGTGTTTCATGAAAGGACAAAACATATTGAAGTTGATTGTCATTTCATTCGAGAGAAATTGCTTGACGGAGTCATCAAGACATCTCATGTACCGTCTGTAGATCAATTGGCTGATGTGTTTACCAAGAGTTTAGGGGGCTCCAGGGTGAAATACATTTATAACAAGTTGGGTGCTTATGATATATATGCTCCAACTTGAGGGGGAGTGTTAAGAGAATATAAGTATTCTTGTAGATAATAAATTAGTAAGGGTATTCTTGTAAATAGTTTGTTAGGTTTGTATTCCTATAAATACTAGTTGATCACTCATAATACTGTGACTAGATGTTTTCCTCCCAAAATACCTGTTAACACCTCCTACTGCACTAAAGTGATTACTGACTGCATACTAGTAAACATTAAAAGCCTACCAAGTTGCTAGAAGTTCAGGGTAGAATTATGTTGAAAGACTGCATGTCTTTTAATCACGAGAGCACTTCCACGGACAATTTGATGGGTGTGGTTAGATAACCATTTGACACTTTTGAGCATCCTCATAGAGAATTCAGGATAAATGCCTACTCTATTTTAAATTTCCCTGTGCTTCTTGGAAATTGAAATCACTACTTTTATACACACATTCATCGATTCCAGAAACTGTGCACTCTACCAATGGACACAAGTTGCTTGCCTTTTGGCCCTTTCCTTCAATAAACAAATTGACAAATCCAAATATAATAGTAAAGCAATAATGAACATAACAAACTGATTATGGAAACATTCACTATGAAGAGTAGCACCAATTCAGCAGTTATATCTTTTGCATGCAGCAGAGTTTAATACCTCAAGGTTTGCTCCAAACTTCCTTTGTTTCTCTGTAGTATCTTGTCCACCAGAGAAGGCATATTTATTAATCTGTGGAATGCCATAAAAAAGAAAGTGAACTGACAAGTAATATGACTTAATAGCTGTAAAAAATTTGCTTTAAAAATAAACATATAGACAGGCTTGGATATCCCTCTGACAAGGTGTTTAACAGATAAGAAACAAGCCATGAAGCACACCAAAAACCCTATGCACAATACATGAATATCAAGGTGTCAGTAATTGAAAATAGCATTCTAACGTTTAAGAAAAAGAACGCATGACGAGTAAGAAGAAAAATCAATGCATCCAACATGATCTGATAAAATGAAACACAGCAGGAAGTGTCAAGCAGTGCAGCCTTACTTTTGGTTATATATCCAGATAAATAAAAATTTCTTCATGTTAGCATATGTACTTTGTTTTTCAACAGAAAAAATAAATAAATTGCTCGAATCCACATTTGTTTTTCCTGGCAGACTACTTCATAGTATGACTACTATTATCTCATCAATCATCAAGAGAAATAAAATTCATTTTGGAGTACTTAAAATGATACGCTAACCAGATTTAAGTACAATGTATTAATTACAAAAAGATATTATTTACATGCTGGAAAATAGGTACTTAATATGGTGGTTTTTCTATTGACCAACCAGATAACTACATTGTAGAAAAGCTGGCATATGGGCACATTTGAGAAGCATAAAAGCACTGAATAAAGCAGCCATCAAGAGTGCCCCCCCTTCCCCCAAAAAAACCCAGAAACTGTGTTGTGTCACTTAGACTTAAACACTAAATTGACTCGTATGGCTAGAAGGATTCTAACTGGAAAATGATATATGCACATTCTGAACATGGAAAATCTTCATCACTAAAAGTTGTTTTGCTCTCTAAATGATGGAATGTAATGAAAAAGATGAGAAAATTCTATTCCTGCTGTCCAGCATTCCGGAAATCCATGCTCCATTATACCAAATTTCTTGGACCACTAAGAACAGATAGATGCCTATATTTTGCAGATAAGATTCCTTCATAATCTGAAACATGAAAACGTTTAACAAGAAATGGTATATACAGAAAATAGTTAATCCAATTGTAAAGATAACATCAATAAGATCAATAAAAGATAACATCAATAAGATAGTTACAACATCCCCAAGATGGACCCATAAACAACTGACTATCTACAAAAAGGCAAAAGTTGTTTGCTGGACAGTTTCCACATCCCCAAGATGGGCCCATAAACAACTTATTATATACAAAAAGGCAAAAGTTGTTCGCTGGACAACAGGAAGGCCAAATATTCCTGTGGACAAAAGATGGCAATTTTTGGTCTTAACCAATTACTAGCACAAAAACCAAGCTGTGGGAGAATCAGGATTCACATATCGTGAGCTCCATCAGTACTGTTACTTTATATATCCCACTTTGAACCTTTTGATTCATTATCTTTGATGCATTTATAGAGCCTGGAAAACTATAAAAATAAATAAATAAATAAATAAATAATAAAATGAAAAGAACTACAGGAGAGGAACATGCATTGATTGTTGTGAATATTGAATCTGGAAAAACACATGGAGAAAAACTCTAGATGACCTTGTTTTTTATGACCTTTGCAGTATCTGTCACATATATAGCAGAATTTGGATCACTAGCACTCATTTTGCCAGTCTCTCCCTGTAAAATTTTCAAGATAACAAAAGTTGAATGTAAAATATAGAAATCAACATGGAAACAACATGCAATAAGTGCCACAAAAAATGGAAGGTTCTATATCTGCAATTATTTGGTTCAGAGATAGACAGTCTAACTGTGTGTTTATTACTGTAAAACAACCCTTGTTAAATATAATCAATGTCCAACAAGAGAATACAGAAGCTAGAGACCATCAAGTTGATTGGGCAGGATATTGCCAACTGCTATTAAGTTGTGCAAACCTTGATACTCTGTGAATATCTTAAGGAGGTAAGGAATAACAATCATTTAAATTAGTAAAACAAGTTATATTTCATATAGAGTAGACAATCAATGAACAGAACTACAAATATCGAAGTGTTGGATTCATCATACATAGAGGAACATCAGTTTAGCCTATATTTACAGTAGGACTTTCTGATGCACTTTACGCAAAATAAGCTCTTATCCTCAATCAAGCCTTTGGAACGTTTCTTTTGTAGAAAAACTAAAAGAAGATTTTCCCGCAGGTCCTTGCTAGCTTAACCAGCTTCATCATATGATCCACATTCATAATTCTCTGTATATAGTCTATTTTCTGAAGTCCTCCCACTCACCTCCTGCCCCTGAACCCCCTCCCCCCTCGCAACCAGGAAAAAGGAAAGAAAAGAAAAGTGAGACTGTAAAAGAGCTTTATCTAAATATAGATGGTTACAAGGTTTACGGGTCATCAACTCTCACTCCTTATTTTTGAGTCCTGCCTCCCAAGTGCTATCCTCAGTCAATTCCTCAGGTATTCTAAACTAGTTTATATCGCATTCATATCCAGGAAATGAAACAAAGTGCCGTAGATCATGAAGGGAACAATCAAGGACAACATTCAAGTTGTAAGATCAGCTTTTTCCAATTCACACTCTGATCATAAAAATTTGTACAGTATACATAGCTTAAATTCTAAATTACTGATTATTCAACTAGTAAATTCATCAGACTCTCAAATAGCTGCTTCATGAAACAAAAGGAACACCTAGAGCTAAGCTTTAGGAAATTTCCAATATATTCTCTACAGATGCCTGTATACATCCTCAATTCTAACCAGAATTCATGTTATGTAGCAAAGACCGAACTTCCCATCTGTAGTTGCGCTAGAGGTATACAAAGAAATGTAGAGTTATATCCTTCTCATGACTACTTGCTCATGCTCAGCCAGTTTTCTTTAATACTAATTTCACCTATAGCAGAGTGAATTGTGTGCAACAGATTTATGTTTCTTTAATTTTCAAGATAGTTAAAACTCTTATTGTGGAAGAAAACGCAGCCCTGGAAGAATGAAAACTTGCTGCATTCTGAGCACAACATCACAAAACTGTCTCTTTTTTATAATATGACAGACACTAGAGTTATGAGAGCCATGGGCACAGGGTATACCCTTTTAGCATTAACTAATAGTATATCAAACTTTTGATATACTATTTTTTTATGCTACATGTGATTTGATCCCTAACTAGTGGTATAGCATTAGACTGATTTAGATAGCTTGATTCCAGGACTTGATAGCTTGATTATAGAATGTAGATTAATTAGCTTGGTTATTAAGATCTAGATTTTGATTCTTAGATCTCTATATGTTGAAATTTTGTACTTTCAGTAAGGTAGTGTTCATTTTATCAGACACTAAAGGAACCTATGAGATTCCTCACTCACCTAATTCTACACGTAACATCTGCAACCATTAAACCTAGATCATATGAAACAATTCACAGCTTGTAACTATTGGACATTCAAAAGGGATTTTTGATTTCTCATAACCAAGGGAAAATGACTTATTTAAACTTCCATCTTTTGGTACAGAGCATTAACAATTAACAATTAGATGAAAAGGCTAATGATATGAGCAATAATATCAGCTTTTATCAAACTTTTGAATGCTAAACTAAAAACCTAATTGTATCCACAAAGGAGATTTTAGAAACCATTATGGCAAAAAAGACAGTATCATTGCAGAAAAAAGCAGTAAAACAATAAATGTATCCTCAAGTACTTTGCAGACAGAAGTGCCGACATGGGGCGAGTTCAATTTATAGAACACTTCTATTTTATAGCAGAAATATTAATTCAACCATGCCCAACAGACTATAATTACACTTAAAACTATGAGTACATTAGAATTTGAAGAAAAGTAGAGAAAACCTGAAGTGCAGGAAAGAATGTTGATTCGATCAATGAGGGCTTACTGTATCCTATTCTAGGAGCAACATCTCGTGTCATCCGAAAGTAAGGATCCTGAAGAAAAAAAAAAGGTTAAGATCTACGAAAATCCAGAAAAAGGAGACTAATTGAAAAAGAATGGCACGTCAATCTAAATATCTGAAAACTGTCAATCTAAATAGAAGCTAGCATGCGAAACTATCTCCTCATTTGGACCACTTCAGACCAAATGTAACTTTTTCAGATCCATAATTCTTTTAGATGCCCAAAATTTGAGACTGGAACAGAAAGACCCAGTAAAACTGTAACAACATAGCAAAACTATGCAACGATCAGCAAACATTGGTAAAAGCACCTTGGTTAGAAAGAGTAAGACCACATAACTCGATTGCATACATACACTAAAACTCAAGACTAGGGGAAGTGACAGAAGCACTGAAGCAGTATACAAGAAACCAGCAAGCAACTTCATGGAGCACACCAAGCTAAAGCTAAGATGTCAAATCAACTTTAGGCAGATAATTCCCCGCCACAATTCTTCTTCTGAACATCATAAAGACATCCTTTGACAAGAATTTTCCTCAGAATAGCAATGAAAAAAGTGCATTACACGTAAATCTTTATAGGCTCGCAATATTGCCTCTAGGAAACCTTCTAGAGCTCTACAAGTTTAATTCTTCTACTATTTCATATGCTATAGTGCCTGCTATAGGAAACCTTCACCTAGAACTCAAATTTTTTTTCCCTTCAAAATGGATGCAAGATCAGGTGTGGAACAATGCACCATCAGAGACTATCAGACCTGTATTCCCAGATATACTAATTCCTCATCTTTTAACCAGGTGTTTAACTAAAAAAATAAAAAATATAATTAGACTTCAGCAATCAACCAAATTCACAGACACCACCCCGGATTGCAGCAGCATCCATTTCATAAACCTACGTTACTTCCATTATTTATTAAACAAGAGATGTGCACAAACGCAATTTCGCTTTGATTGTAGTCAAAGAATCAATATCTGATCATCTAGGCATCCATGATTGTTTAACTATGATTTCTCTTCTTTATGGAATGTTCATGATAAGTTCATCGAACATGCAACGTCTATTTTAAAAATTTAATGTATCATAAAATCTTCTTGCCGTCAAGGACATTTTATTGATAATTTTTTACAACACCATCGACATACCACTGAATGATTAAATTTAACACTTAGAATAGGTAGGCTCACAATCACGAGAGACAAATTAAATAATGACTATAATCGAGCTTGATATATAATTTTCTCGAACTCAAACACAGATCTACAAATTTAGGATTCAAAAAACAATAAGATTACACAACATCTTAGGGAGAAGGGACATAGTGCAGAAACATGGAAAAACAATAAAGATAAAGGGAGTGCTCTTTGTAGGTGAACATTTAAGGACTGAACTGCTGAACAAGATGATAAGTTGATAGGGACGTGCCCCATTTTATAGGCATACAAAGGTGGAAAATTTGGAACCATTAGAGGGGACCTCCATATGTAGAGGCACCTGGAATCTAGTGTAGTTTTGACATTTTTGGACATTTGGCTATGCTGCGCTAACAATATACTGGCAAGATACTCCAAGGGCCAGATTCATGTCCAAAAGCTCAAGCTCTTCCTGAATTTGAGCTTGCCTAAATCCCCAGGTCCTAATTAGTCCTTACAATGTAACACCATTTTGGTGGTGGAGACACTTGGCTGCAAGAATCACTACCTGAGTGCATTTTGGAGAAACAATGTTCATATAATGATTAATCTGCAAGTAATGCAGATGATGGATTTGGTGAATGGTTAGAAGGCATGTATATGTGTTAGCCTGGGCAGATGGTAGCTCTTTCATATAATCTTTATTCTACAGCCAAAATAAGGCCACTAAATGTGTTTCAGGTTTTCCTTTTTTCTAATTCATGCATTCTTCAGGTTTTATCAGTATATGCAAAGGACAATATCCATAACTGCTATGTGATATGCATTCTCCCTGTACAATAGGAAATTACCAAGTATATCATCCTTCGCCCACTTATTCAGTTGACATTTGGTTGTGTAAAGATCATTCAGCTGGAGATATCCTTATTTACCTCCTTTCATACCTCCATGAAACACAAAAAGCTTCTTTTTCCCTTTGCAGAAAGGTTGTATTCTCGGATATTTACTTCTCTAAAGATACACAGAGGGAAATTAGATGAATCAGTTCCCTCAACCAGTCTAAATCTGTCTCTCACATCAATACAAATCTGAGGCTAATTTCTTGCACCACATCATTTTAGTATTGTATAGTAAACCAACTGGTCTGAGACCTTACTACTGTATCTTTAGTTAAGTAGCATGCTTCTTCCATATGGAGCTTGGGGAATATGAAAAGGCTGTATTTGTATATTAGGTCTGAAGTTCTAGAAGACAGTTTATAGGTGAGTAACAAGCAGAGCATTCAAGCAGGACATCGAAAAGTTTATATAGGTAAGCTTATGTATTTTTTAATGGAATGTGACATACAAACTGAAAAAATACATCACACATCAAAATTGGCCTATGTGATAGATTTACATTTATGGAAACAGTCTATCTATACTTCTAGTTTTCTCCAACCACCAATGAACAAACTTGCAGACCACTACCAGCACGTACATTACCAACACCAGTTACACCACCTTAATTAGCACATCATAATGTAGACTGTTAAAAATAATTAATTAATTAAAAACCTTAACCTGACAACCACACCAGTTGACAGATCTGGGGGCCACCACACCACCCAACCCATCATCCCAAAACCACCCTCGAGCACTGGCTGCTTTACCTAAAGCCAGCCAACCCATTTCCTGCCCCTTCTCAAGTCACATCACCCATCTTTCAGAGTCACCATCAGGCCATATTCGCCATCTATAACTTGCTTTAAGCAACAAAGTCCATAAAAACACCATGATGTAAGCAAGCACACTCCCAAAATCTTACCAAAATTGTGAGTTTGTTCCTCCAAGATTTACTAGCAACTTGGTTCCTACACAAAAACGGTAAAACATCCATTTCAGGGACTAAGCAATTAATTGGAGGAAACTGGAGAAAGTAGAGATGTGAGGAAAAACTGGGGAAGCAGAGAAATGGGAAGAAAGCAGTAGATGCAAAGGCAGGAAGACGTATTAGGTAGCCAAGAAAAGGAGAGAAAGATGTCTGACAGAACAGGGGAGGGCGAACAGAGCCCTGGAAGAGGAGGGGAGGGCCAGAGAGAGAGAGAGAGAGGAGCCATAGAGTGAAGTAAGGAAAAGAGGGATGCTTCTGAGGTGGGATATTGCGCTTTGATGTGTCACTAAACACTTTGTAAGATTCCTCTCTTAAAAACTAATTGCCTGTGAGTAAGGGAAGAAACCTCAGGAGTTTGTTCCTCCAAGATTTACTAGCAACTTGGTTCCTACACAAAAACGGCAATATATCCACTTCAGGGACTAAGCAATTAATTGGAGGAAACTGGAGAAAGTAGAGATGTGAGGAAAAACTGGGGAAGCAGAGAAATGGGAAGAAAGCAGTAGATGCAAAGGCAGGAAGACGTATTAGGTAGCCAAGAAAAGGAGGGAAAGATGTCTGACGGAACAGGGGAGGGCGAACAGAGCCCTGGAAGAGGAGGGGAGGGCCAGAGAGAGAGAGAGAGAGGAGCCATAGAGTGAAGTAAGGAGAAGAGGGATGCTTCTGAGGTGGGATATTGCGCTTTGATGTGTCACTAAACACTTTGTAAGATTCCTCTCTTAAAAACTAATTGCTTGTGAGTAAGGAAAGAAACCTCAGGAGTTTGCACTGTAAACAAGGTTAATTTTTTAGACAGACCTGATGTCTATCTTGTAAAGGAAGATAATTCGACATAAAATCAATTGAGCAACGAAATTCCTTGAATAATAATAAGGTCAAAATCACCACAATTACCACGCAGAAACATGAGAGTCCAGAAGTTTTACAAATTCAAAAATCAAGAAACATGTGGGAATGAGAGTAAACCTGGTCAATTGCACATGGAATCAAGCAGCGAAGATTCTCTCTACCAGAGAAAAGATGCGGAAATGAACTTGGAAAGGATGGAACAGCCTGTAAATTATTCAAATGTAGATCACCAACTAGAAGCAGAATGCTTTCAGGCCAAGGTTCTAAAGCGTAAAAAAAAATCAAACAATATAACAAATGACTGATAATAAGGATAAAAATCCTCAACCACTGTATCATATCTACAAGGTGCACTGAGATTGTTTATGACTTAATTAGCTTTCATTTTTTGATACTGACTTGCAGAATATGTCTTTTAACAGAAGTACACATATCTTTCTAACTGTAGTTACTTTCCATTTCCTCCCCCTTTTTGTTTTTCATGGGAACCTTTCCTTCTAGATGAGAATTGGCCATCACCCAATGGTTAAGGGTCTTTGTTATTCATCTTAAAACAATGGATTTGTTTTCACTATCTTCCTTCTTCCTTCCCATCCATTTCCCCTTTCCAGAAAATTACCCAAAAGCTTAAAAATTAAAAAAAAGGGGCAAAAAAGCTCACCTTTCTAGTTTCTGCAACATAGTTTGTATTTCAAAAAATGCATATAGAACTTAGAATTTAAAAGGTCAATTAAAAACCTAGTGTTGCCAGGTAAATTTAGTATGTTTCAAAATCTTTTCAATGATGTAAACAACTTTCATCTGTATCAAAGAAAATTTCAGCAGCAGTCAACCCCTATATATAACACAGAGCCATGGAATCTAAGAGCAAGTCAACATAATTACAGAAGAAACAAGAGGGGGGTCTCTCTGATTTGATAAACTCAACAAAAGTCAACTTAAAGATAATTCCTAGACATGTTTGCATCTTATTATTGAGTTCTCTACCGTTTAAAAGGTGAAATTTTTATGATTGTGCACAAAGGCACACTACAAACTCACCAAAACATAGATATAAGAGAAATCATCACAAGATTAGTAAGAATTCTAAATGGGTCAACTAAAATCTTAAAGTGACTAGTTAAGTTATGCAATAGATCTAGTACTTCCCCGATTAAATGACTAAGAATCAATTGCATCCACAACTAGGAGGAGAAAGGAAGCATATACAATGTACAGCAAAGTTCTCACCTTTATTTTAGATTTAGATCTACTAGACTACAGCAAAGCTTTTTCACATTTATAACTAACAAAGGTAGCTTTTAACATGGATAAACATAAGCATTTAAATGCAATCCACTTCAACAATAGTAGATGAATAATACTGAAGTAGAAAAGGATTTTCAGTTTGAAAATTTGCGTCTAGATCTCCCCTATCTTGTCCTATATCACTAAAAACAACTCAGACATTAATAGGCACAGCAAATGCTTTATGCAAAAGTACCAGAAAAAACAACTTCTAACAGTCAGCCTCAAACACATGACCATGCAAGTGTCCCAAAAGCACTGCATAAAAATGACAATGAGTTTGTTTGGATAAGAGTTTATTTGGATGATTTATTTGAGATAATTACTGTAGCACTTTTTGTGACGTGATGTATGTGAGATAAGATTGGGATTTGTGAGGCAAATTATTTTTTTTCAAAACCTCTCTATCCAAACACACCCAATACTACTTACTAGACCCCCAAAAAAAAATCCAACACTCCTCTTGAACTGTTTGTGTGAATCATTCCTTCAGGCAGCGTACACAGAATTTAGAATATAAAGTGCAAAAAATTGGAAAAGGGGAAAAACTAAAAGGTAATCGCCTCCAATCAGAATGGAATATTTACTTGAACATTCAAAATTGTGAAACAAAAAGCAAACATTAACTAACCATTTCTTGAACAACATTACAGATACAGCAGAGGTTACCATGTAAAATCAAGTACATTCTCCTACCTGAACAGGAGGAAAACTAACTTTTCCAATGTGATCTTCCCCAGTGAAACCAAAAATGCCAACAACCTGAAAGAAAGGAACAATTAATTCTACTCAGGAACCCCATTAACAATATAATTCATTAGCAGATAGCAACCCAGCATGATGTGTAATGCCTTTTCAGACGGATCACCTTATTGTAAGTGACGCATTTTGCAACCCTCACCATGTTCTTGTAGAAGGCACTAAACAGAAAATCCTCAAGTAAGAATACTGTAGCAGTAAATAAGAAATGCAACATTAAAAAGCAAGGATGTCCCTTTCTTTTATTTGGTTTGGTAAGAAACGAATATCTCCAGCAATGAACACCATGATCTGTCTCTTAATCGACAATCAAATTGGAATCCATTCACCTTACAATCGGGAAAATGCATATTGAATTCTACATTTCTATACAAAACCTGTTTTTCAGAACAAAATCAGGATTCAATAATAGTAGATATATCTATGCTATACATATCTTCACTTATTTATAATTTACTTGAAAATCCATCTTGAAAGAAGTGTAACAAAGAGTACCATCATTATTCAGATAATCTGTCACTACGAGACTATTGCTTGCTTCATATTCAAGTTCCAAGCCCAAAAAAAAATTTGATAGGATCCCTACATTCCTTTTTAATCTCAATAAAACTCTCCTAATTGCAATCACCATTTCTATATGGTACCTCACAAGCACCAGTAGTCAATAATGATGAGGAACTACTTTTCATGTAAAGGTTCCATTTAAAGATGCTTCAGAAAAGAATTAGGGTATGAAGACTATAACAACCTCGTTGATAAAATAGCAGATAATCAAAGTTTATGTTAGTCTAGTCAGATGTATGAGCCACACCCTCAGCCCTTTTTTGGCTGCATGGACGAAATTCATGACTATCAGGAAGCCAATGTGTTGATTTGCTATGGTTGAAATTCATGACTATCAGGAAGCCAATGTGAAAGACTGTCAGCATCGATTAGCCTACAAGATTGTCTGCATCTGAACATCCAACACTTGTCTATAGAAGACAAGGAGATATTCTAAACTTTGGCTAGTATTCAAGCACTAAACATTGGATATTCTAAACTTTGGCTAGTATTTCAAGCACTAAACATTGAAAACTGAAATTATAAGGCAAGGGCAAGACAGAAGTAATGTACCTACAGAATGTTTAATGAAAACGTATAAATCATGTTTTGATAGTCACTATGACTGATTAATGTTGTTAAAAGGAACTAATGGATAAAGTAGACTTTAGCTTTAAAGCATGCATTTCTACTACACAAGCATTAAACCAATTTTTACTACACAAGCATGCATGAAACAGTATTAAACTGATTTTCAATGCATTACATGAACCCACATTGTGTATCTCCCAACATCCACTGCTACCACAGTTAATACTCAACTGTATACTTGAACTCGTATGCAATTACCTTTCAATAGCAAAATCTTGAGATGCAAGAACAAACAATAATATGTCTACATCATGAGGCTAAACAATAAGCATGACCAACTTTGCTATTGAAGCCCCAAGAACAGGATAGACAACTTGTTTCTTCATCCATCTGAAAGAAGAATTGTTATACACCAAGGAGAAGTACTCTCGCATTGGCCCTGTTAGGAAACCTAACCTTGCTTAAATCCAATTCCACTCAACCTAAAACTAAGAGTAAACATCTCTAGTTACTAGTTGTGGTAATCAGAATTTTCTCCAGGTTAGTGGCCAAATTTTTTATAGGCATATCATACAATTTCTCTAGATTTTCTTTCTTTCACTACCTTTTTTCTTCATTCCAGCTGTTTAAGCCCTGACAAGTTCAAGAACATCTCAGTTTCATTCATCTTCATGATAATCATCCCCTCATAGGGCACAAGCTTCTCATCACAGACATCTCCCAAATAAACTAATCAATTTTTAGAGCTAGCAAATCAGCAATGAATATCCATGTAATAAAGTTTTTTTTTTTTTTTTGGGCAATAAAGCATTCTTACTTGATAAACATGGAACTTCAGGAAGTTAAACATCAGCTTGGTATTGCATATCAAATGAAATAAAGCACTTCAATAAGATCCCATACCTAGAGCTAGCACCGTATAACTCAATTGAGACATTGTGGAAAAAGCTAAACCTCTTTTAAAGGGAAAATTTATAAAGATAAAAAATGATTTTTGCAATAAGTCGATAAAAGTTAAAGATACATCCATACCACAGAAAGACATATTCCAAATCAACAAGCATACATGAAACAAGGCATATATCCAGAAGCAGTGTGATATAACAAGCATTTTAAGCTTTCAATAACAATTACGTAGACATATAACATACAAAATTGTGAAAAATTAAATTACCACGATGTCAACTCTAAATCCTAAAATGAAGTAGAGATAAAAATAAAAAACAAACTCACAAGTTAATGAACAAATAACATACCCACCAACATAGTCAAAATCACAGAAAATAAAGGTCCTCGAAATGTCGAATCCACATGCAATCAGATCCTTAGCATTCTCTCGTGCAAGTCTCTGACTCTCCTCTACTGACAGATTCTTCCACATGCACTTCTCATCATCAGTCAACTGTATTACAAGTGGAACCTTAAAAGCATCCTGCAGGTACCTGCAACCAACTAGATTCCTGACTTTCTACCCTGAAGCTCCGCCAGTTGAAACAGAAAAACCAACAGAATAACACATTCCAAACTAAGTCAATTCTAACTCTTTTAAACTAACATTTCATTTGACCGTTCACTGTTCAAATTCGACTCCAAATCATACATCTGAAATTTATATCAATTCAAGAAAGAATTTGTACAAAAGGCAAAAGTTGCATAAGCAGAAAAACCTAACAGGAGAATATGCAACTCCTAATGCAAGTATCTGGAATAAGACAATCTCAACTTAGTTTTACCCTAAAAGGGTGGAAGAACTACCTCATTTTTGGGGAAAATGATCGTTTTGAAGTCAAATTTTCTAATATATTCTCTATCAATGCAAAATGTGGTGTTCTTGCATTTCAAAGTAGAACAATTTTCCGCAATTTTTATGATATCAAAGGACTTGAGACTACCTACGAAGATACAAAAGTAAAATACAGCCCAAAAATTTTCCAAATATAATAAAATCATATGCACATCATTCGAAAAAACTAGCTGAGACTCAGAAACTAATTCCACAAAGAATCAACGAGGTTTACTCAATTTCAACACAATGTCATCCGGAACAAGACATTCAATTCAATAAAAGCAACAAAAAGAACAAATTTCTCAAAATATTTCCAGAAAAAAACTGGCAGTAGGAAACCCCCCCCCCTCCCCCCCAAAAAAAACAAAAAAGAAACATACTTGGTGAACATAAACGGAACAAGATGGCCGAGATGCAGGGCTTCGGAAGAAGGTCCACGGCCGGTATACAAATAAAACTTGTCTCCTCTTTCGTAGGCGTCGAGAATATCAGTAAAATCCCGGTGCGCGAAGAAGACGCCGCGGCGGAGAAAAACGTGAGGATGCCGATTGGTGAGGCGTTGGACGCGGTCGATTAAGGACTGGTCGAGTCTTTGACAGCCAAATTGATCAATCAGTTTGCCGTAGTCAATTTTGCCGCCTTGCTTGGCGGATACCTCCCATGGAGTCACTACTTGTTCTTCTTCTGCTACTTCTTCTCCTTCGGGGGATAAGGACGTCGACGACATTGGTGGTGGAAAGTGGCGAGCTCGAGGGTTTGAGGATGGCATCACCTGCTCTAGAGTCTAGTCTCGTCTCTGTGCTACTCTAATAAAAGGACTCACTGAAGCTGGGTTTTGGCCGTTAAGAGTTTCCTTCTTTTTTTCTTGGCCGGTTAGCACTTTTTTTTTCTTTTCCAAAATATCATTTATAATTTTTTAGTGTAAGTAAAAAGTAGGACACCTCCTGCTTACACTCATTCTTTCGTATCATCCAATCCGTTCTTTTCCCCTGACATCTCAATATAACTAGTGTTTTTACAAACATTTATAATTTGGGACAACTATCCTATAAAATGACTTATGTCTCATTCACAAGACACCGGGCAAAATCACATTACCGCTTCACATTTCTAATCAATTTGGTGGCAAATTTTGTCAAATAATGATTAACAATATTAAACTCCCTGAGGACAAAAGTAAAATGGTATAACCAAAAGGAATTTTCAACTTTCTAATATTTCGAATAATAGTAGAAAGTATAGATTCATCCTCTACCTCCCCATTAATAGCATTTACTACTTCTTCATAATATGAGAATATACAAATAGAAGCTAAACTCTTACCTAAAGCAAAAGTGAGAGCAATTTTGATTACCATGGCCTCTACAATTGTTGGTTCTCTGCAATGGTGAATAGGAATGGTCTAGGTTGCTTTCAAATTGTCCATATTATCCCATATTCCAATTCCCAAACCAACTCTCTCTTTTATCACAAGTTGCATCAGTGAATATTTTCCATGCATGTTGGGTAGTTCTTGGTTCTTGGGTTGTTAAAATTCTCATATTAGCTTCAGTTTCCTCAGGCGAGATCACCACTTGTTTTGCTAGCATGAATTCATTCCATTCATCCAAAGTAACTTTGGATGCCCACATTCTTGATTATTGTTTGGAGATGAAATTTGCTTCATTCATGCATTTCCAAATTTGCCAAAACAAGTTTGCTATCAGAGCTATGTGGTCTTTTCCATTCTTCCTAGTTTTAAGCTCTTGTAATTTTGCCCACCAATGCCAAAAATTTCATTTATGATCGTGAAGGTCATCTCATTGAAGCGGGAAAGCCTTCCAAATGGCCTAAATTGATTTGCAAAAAAATAACATATGTTCGAAAGTTTCAATTTCATCACCACATTTCCTATGCATTGGGCTTCCTTTAACTATTCTTTTATGGATATTTTCATTGATAGGGAGGATGTGATGAAGACATTTCTAGGTAAAAGTGCTTTATTTTGTGCTTCATATTAAGTCTCCACAACCTTTTAGAGTTGCCTCCATCTTGTCTAGCTTCTTTGTATTTCCTGCTACAAGTTTTCTTGAAATCGTAACCTGATTTTACAATGTATAAACATGATTTGGTATAGTTCCATCTCAACCTATCTTTTCCTCCAAATATATTGAGTGGGATGCTTTGAATCCTTTTGCAATCCTCAGCATTAAAGAGAGTATTGAGAAGTCCTATGTTCCACTGGTTCTTTCTCATTAGTTGCTGAACCCAGATGGTTTCACATTCCATTGGTTTAAGTGTAGAAACTTTACCACTCTTAGACTCTAGAAGCCATCTGTCCTCCCAAATGTCTATGTTAGCTCCATTTCCTACATTCTTTCTTGTTCTTCTTTCTATTTGTGGAATTGTAGCTTGAAGACTCTGTCAAATCTGACAAGCTGTACATGATGACTGTGCTTTAAAGATGATGGTGTTAGGAAAATATCTACCTTTTAGGACTTTACTAACTAAAAAATTTGGTTTGGTTACGATTCACCAGATTTGCTTAGACAATAATGTCAAGATGAAGTATTATAGGTCCCTAAATCCTAGTTCTCCTTTCCCCTTGACCTCTATCATCTTTTCCCAACACATCTAGTGTATCTTTTTCTCCTCTTTTTCAATTTCCCACCAAAATTTTGCCATTGCTGAACAGAGCTCTTTGCATAATCCTTTCACTTGTTTAAAAATAGATATGGCATATGTAAGCATTGCTATTGCGACTCAATTTAGTATAATCTCTTGCCCTGCTTAGCTGAGGATCTTCTTTTTCCATCCTTGAATCTTGCCCATGACTTTGTCTATGATGAAATTAGGACCTGATTTTTTTATCTCCCTATTACCAGCAATAGTCCTAAATACTTTCATTGGTGTTACGACTTGAATGCCTCTTAATTAGTTCCTACATCATTTCTTCTCCTGTGCTGCTATCCACATTTTTGTTGAAAAAAGCAATGTATTTCTCCAAGTTGATTTGTTGTCCGAAGGCATTTTTATACTACCACAAAATTCTATCAACCTCCTCAGCTTCACCTACTTTTGCTTTGCAAAATAGTAATGATTCATCAGCAAATAGTAAATGAGTTAAGCTTGGACAATTCCTTGAAGTTTTCAAACACGAGAGATTTTTCTTTTCAATTGCTTTTTTTGAGAAGACTAGTGAGACCTTTAATGTAAATGAGGAAAAGATAAGGGGATAGGGGATCCCCTTGTCTAATAGCTCTTGAATGCAAAACATTTCACCCTATTAATATTGAAAGAGTAAGAGGCAGAAGTCAAACAATTCATGACCCACTTGATTCAGAGATGACAGAAGCCCATTTTACACATCACTGTAGTAAGAAAGGCTATTCTACCATATCATATGCTTTAGACATGTTAATTTTAAAAGTCATAAAACCATCAACCCATCTTCTTTTATGGTCAAGGTAATGAATACTTTTATAAGCTAGGATGATGTTATCAAGGATTAGTCTACCTAGGACAAAAGTTGCTTGGGAAGGGCTAATACAATTGCTGAGTACTGGTTTGAGCCTATTGATTAAGACCTTGGGTATGATTTTGCAGACAACATTACGTAAGCCAATGGGTCTATAGTGTTTAAGCTTAATTAGGGAATCAACTTTTGAAATCAGGGCCACAAGGGTCTCACTTAGAGCTTTACAAATGAAACTAGAAGGATAAAAGCAACTAATAGCATGTGCAATATCTTTACTAACAATAGGCCAAAAATTTTGAAATAATATAGAAGACATTCCATCTAGCCCTGGGGCCTTGTTGGGGTGCATTGAGAATAGAGCCTTTTTTATTTCTGCTTGTAATACAGATCTAGTTAGGTTCTTATTCATGGCCTATGTTATAGCTCTAGGAACTCCACTTAGAATTTTTCCATAATTTGATGGGTTGCTTGTAACAAAGAGAGTACTGTGAGGATCTGAAAAATTTTCTTATTTCATTTTATTTTACTGGCTTAATTAATTAATTATTTCGACTATTTAAAATCCATTTATGTGAAAAAACGCCTCTCTTATGTTTTTAAAGCGTTTTGTTAGAAAATTTACTTTTCGAAAACTCGTTTAGTTCAGAACGAGTACCCATTTTTCAAGACTACATTTGAATTGAGAGCATATTAATTTTGGAAAAAATAAGAATGATCAATAGTAGATTAAGAAAAGTCGTGAGGTCTCGTAAAATTTATTTATTTTAAACTCCTGTTACGAGCTTATTTAAATTTTTAAATGCCCGTTTACCCCGAATATTATTTTGTAACCTTTTTAGACCCAATTACATGTATTTTTAAAATGACTTGTTATGGAAATTAATTTTTGGAAACTCATTTAGTGAGAATAGTGAATGCGCATTTGGAGACAGTGATCGATTGAGAGTACAATAAACTTGGAAAATTGGAGACTTATACAATGGTTCTAAAATAGGTAATTTTATGTTGAAGTACTCAAGTGATAGTTAGTAGTACTATCGTTATAAGAATTTCTTAGAGGTTTCGCTTTATCGCGCTTAAATCGGAAGTACGCGCACGCGATTAATTGAGGGACTTAAGGCCATTATTTTTGGACTATTAAGAGTGAATAACAATAGTATGTATACAAGTGCATTAGAGGTTTAGTGCACTAGTGAAATAAACCCGAGAGGAATCGAGCACGAAGCGCGCATGTACGTGCACTATCCTTAGTTGACTTTTGGAGCATTTTGGGCCACACATTATTAAGCTTCTCATGGGTGCATCACACTAGATCAAAACCCTTCAATTCATCATCTAAAGTGGCGTGCAACACTCTCATTTTCTTGCTCTATGACAGCCGTGCACCTCGAGAAGAAAACCCACCAAAGTTCTTCATTTTTCCTTTATCGAATCTTCACTGATCCTCCACCAAATCACACCAAAATTTCACCATACATAGCTAATCACTTGGAGACTACACTAAGCTAAGAAAAAGGGGCTGTTTTCACAATTTTCTTGGGCCAAGGAGGGACCGAAAATTTCTGCTTTGGACACCAAGTGAAGTAAGTAACGATCAACTACCGAAATCTCGATTTATGGAAATTCTAGTGCTCATATATACTCATGCATGTTAGTGGGTAGCATTATTTTGAGGAAAATTTGGTTGTGTGGGCTCTATGAACTCCCACCTTAGATATATGGACTGATTTGTGATGTTTTGATGGTAATAATGTTTATTTAGTGCTTAAACTAGTGGATTAATATTGGGTTGTTGATAGAAACTCAAGGATGGTGCAATGACCAAAAGTGACCATTTTGCCCCTGCTTTGTTCGAGCACTTTGGTGCAAAATTTTGAGATTCTAATGGCTTGCTTATGTTGTTTACATGTTATATTGAGTGTGTAAAAAGTTTCATTGAAAAATAACTTGATTTGGTCACCCAAATGTTTGATTTACGAAAGTTTAGAAATCTGGAAACTATTCCCGTATTCACCCAAGCAGTGTTTTTGTTTCGGCTATATCTTTTTACTGCAATATCAAAATCGAGTACCGTTTGTGGCAATGGAAACTAGACATTCCCATATTTTCAACGGTATAAAATGCACATTCTGGTTCCATCTGAGTGAGCCAAACCACTCGTTTGAAAATTGCTGTCCTGTTTCATTGTTTCCTGGAAGGCAACACATGAGCTGTAACTTGATGCTCACGAATGAGCTAGTTATGGACAGATTTTGAAACTGTTTCTTCTGAGAAAATATAGCCTTATGAGTCTATTTTTCAATGCCACCAACCGTGCTCAATTTCGAGTTGAATTGAGTGATTTATGATCAAAATTCGAATCTGGTCTTGTGAAGG